TCAGAAGCGTGGCTGGTTTCGGATGGCGTCAGCGTATCAGCAACGAGGCGATTAGAAAACGGGTATCTGGTTGTGCTGCAGGCACCTCAATCCGGGAAAACATCCACCATCATCGACTACGGTGGCTCGGTCATGTGCTACGCATGCCAAAACACCGTCTACCAAGACGAGTGTTGTTCTCCGTGCCTCCTTCGGGATGGCGCAAACCGCGAGGTGGACAGCACATGACTTGGTTAAAAGGCGTGAAAGAGATCACGAAGAGTTTGGGTGTTGTTGGTGTTGTACGCCTTCCAAGATGGAGTCCAACCCATTTGTGCTTGGCTGGAGACATTGCAAGAAATGGCAGCTAATCAACGTTAGCGGTGTTCGTGCTGTAAGTTTCCAGATTGTCTGATTGAGCGCTTGGAGGTGTAGGCACCTCAGAACACTTGACACAGACCAGCACTAAATCCCCTTCCACTCCCTCTCTTCTTTTTCACTCTAGGGTTTTAAATATAATTAGACGAACCTTATGGTTGTACGGCAGTGAAGCATCAGTGTCCACACTGATGTAGCTGTCTTTGATGATGATCACTCCTACTGCAGTCTGATTGAGTTCGTACCTGCATCATTTTGCTTTTGTGACTATTTGAGTTCAGAATAGAAAGTCGGGAATTTCGGTCCTCGATATGCTCTGCTCAAAGTAGCAGAGACCGTCATCCGTGGGCTGAAGAAACTAAGAGAACCAGGTGCCGAAAATGACGAACGTTGTAACGAAATGGACGTAACTGCAACCTAAGTTAGTGAGCTCGAGATAGCTCAGTGACTAAGTTACGAAATTACTGACTGGAAGGTCCGAGGTTCAAACTCAACCCCAGAATCTCGACTGATTCTGTCTAGGCTATGATAGGTTGACAGTATAACAGATTTCGTTCTCACTTCGGAGTGGCATGACAGCCAGGCACCCAAAAGGGTATGGTATTCTTTAAATGAATGTCCCGCACAAAGTCCAATACTTAAGACATAGAAGTATACTTTTTTTATAAAACAATTATTTTAAGAATACCTTTTAAGAATATCATGAGAGGGAGGTTCATCGGAGATCTAGTCGAATCCCTCGTTAACACTAGCTCGCCTTGCAAATGCGTATTTTACCAATGACGTACAGGCGTTTAAGTCGCCTTGCAAATGCGTATTTTACCAATGACGTACAGTTTGGCGTTTAAGTGAAACATAAGGCTGACGGAAACTCATGGATTACGCCTAGTTGATGAACCCGACGGGGGAAACCGGTAGTGTGGTGTCGAATAGACCTCAGCAACAACTTTTATGACCCAGTACACAATACCCGGTACTAGCATAAGTTTCACATTTCAAAAAATCTTTCAAAGTTGGCGAACTTAATTTGTTCCTATCCAGCTTGCGGTTGGTTGTCTCCTTAAAAAAGAGACCACCGACCATCCTTATTCGCTTCGCCGATCCGTGAGCCTGACCAAGATTCAACCTTCCCGTTCAGATATCCATAAAAATGAGTGCCCAAAGGGTCTAATAGAGAACAACGGACTGGCATTGCTAGTGGAGACAATGCACTCCATGTGGGGCGAGATGGTTCAGTGGTTGGACATGGATTTAGACTGGCATTGCTAGTGGAGACAATGCACTCCATGTGGGGCGAGATGGTTCAGTGGTTGGAGCATGGATTTACTGACCGGAAGGTCCATGGTTCGAACCCAAACTCTGCCTCTCGACTTCCCCTGTCTAGGCTTGGGCAACCTGGCAGTATTCCAGCCCTCTGACTTCCTGCTTCCTTCTGCACTCCATGTGCTGATCTCACGTTCCCATTAATTCACATTTTGTTGTTCAAAAATATGCTTGTACTGAATACGTAGAGAAGGCGGCGACTATAACCAATATGACAGATCCTCAGTACTGACCGTGCTCATAAGGGCCGGATGCCACCAGCTAGCGCTCTTAAGTGGATTTCAAGTCACAAGATTGTTTAAAACGGCACTTTTGTTCTACAGTCTAACTAGCATGCATCCAGTGAACTACAATGCCCCTCGGGGCCAAATAAGTCAGGTCAAAGTGAGAACAACTTACTGCCAGAAACTGATGGTAGTCAGCCATCCGTTGCACCATCTGGTCCGCCTGCTCGATAGCAACATCCAGTGTTGACATGAGCTTCATCACCTGAGCCTCGGAAGCCATAATTGTGTGTATGTTTGTCTAAGGTAGAGAAAGACATTCACCGTTAAAGAAGTTAAATTATCCTAAACTTTAGGGGCGTAAAGGTAAAAGTTACGCAACGGATTTCTAGTAAGCGGTCAGTTGAACTACAACAGGAGTAACGATGGAAACGAAAGAATGGAGTTCAGTTTAGTTCAGTGCGCTTTGATGGCAACCCTCCTCCCGATCAACACCAATAGTAAACTTACTGATTAAACCGATTTCATAAGAATGCGAAGTGTCTAACAAGTGAACTGACACGAACTGGATGTTCTAAAGAGTCCGAAACTTTCACTGTTTTGGTGAGCTGACAAAAAACTATAAACTGTTTTAACTAACTATAGCATCCTCAAACAGCAACAGCCATACAACGTCATCTGAAGGCATCGTCATATTCAGTTGTAGGCTTACAACAGATACGTGATTTCGGTTACTGACGGACACCTGGATGACGCAGAGATGAAACGTTACGGGTCCCAAGATAGTATTATGCTCCTGAATACAGTAGGTACATATGTTGAAAATCTACACAATGAAAAACGGTAGCATCAGGATATAGACTTTCCTTCTCCTCATACGTATTACGAAGGTGATGACTCATGATTTGACAACTGGGAGAGTGGTAACTCAATTATATCTCACGAAAAGTGCTTATCAGGGTCACTGGAAGCAGCCTCCAATGATAATGGGTGCTTTATAAGCCTCCCAATGCAACAGAATGATAGGATCGTCAAATGCTGCTGAGAAAACCTAGCTACCACCTCCACGAAATTGAATCGCACAGTTAGTTGTTCGGCTTTGCAACAGCGTCATCCAACAGGTTGCTTTTATGTGAGCAGGCTACACCCCAATAATTAAATACAAAGGACTGTTACCAAAGTGATTCGAAAAATTTGTCTGTCTATGGATTAGACATCATCTCAAACACAGTGAGAATGCAGTTTAAACTGGTTGTCCGATGGGTGCTTCACATGTTATCTATCAGTTAACTGATAGCATATATCAGCATCTCCTATGAGCGGAACAGCTAAGCTCTACCAAGAAGTTCGTTATTAGTCAGATAGCACTTTTGACAAATTCAATGACGGCAAGGGCTCTGGAGCCATCGGTTACGCAGAATGTCATGGAAAAAGTCAACTATGCGAACTCCCTAGACCGTAACAATACGGACTGCTTGGGTTCAGTGAGTCCACGGGAATAAAATAAACGGAAAATATGGATTTAAAGCTCACATTCATGCTGAACTTGATTCACCCGTTCCTACACTTCTGTTTCTTGTTTGTTTCGTTTGTTTTCCTTTAGCGTCACACATCTGTGGTATGAATGTCATACCTTTTGTGAGTATAATAAGGAAACAACGCGGTTTGGGTCGCTGTCAAAAAGTTCAGAATGGATCAGCAAACAGGAAGCAGTAAAGATAAATCAGAGTCGAGACGTTGCTTGCGCTTACTAACATTTGTGTGGGGGTAATATTTTTATTACAGCTGCTAGAAACCGTTGAAATCCATCGTTCAGCTGCAGTAAAAGTGTGTTTGAAATCCCAAAAGTAAGCAACGGGTTGAGAGAGATTCCGCACACAAGTAAGGTACGGAATCGTTTAGACTGGTAAATTCGGATGAGATGGGAGAAAAACCGTACGTTGAAATCAGAGGTGGAAAGAAGGGTTGCAACTTACACCCTCCACATCAGCCAGTTGTTTCTGTAGATGCTCTGTTAATTCTGTAGCGTTACGTTGAACCGAGTCGACGGAAAGCTCGTCCAAAAATTGGCGGATATCTTCCTCTTCCCTCAATGTCAACGGACGGTAAGACTCAGTAGCTCCAGGAGTACCAGCCGCAACCAGAGTAGCAATGCTGGTTTCTTCGACTTTGGATTCTTCTGAAGGGTCTATGTGCCGTAAACAGAGAAAGTTCAATTTAAACTTAGTGTGAATGGCAAGTTACTAAAGCAAAAAGAGAAGCTAAGGGTATAGTCATGCTTGAATACTTTGAAGCGTTAACGTCGACCAAAAGCGTTCAGCTGCTGAACAACTTAATTATCAACGGACTCAATCGGTAGGGGGTTTATGAAGGGAATTCCTATCCTCAGCAGTTACAGTAGACAAGATCTAAGGGTAGGAAATGAATTGGCTTACCTAGACACCAGACGGTTGCGTTAGCAAGAGCGCTTCTCCAGAGCTGATTGATCCAGTGGAAATTACACAATCAGATTGTATAGGGATGTTGTTCGAAGCCGGCAAGTAATCCACGCGCGATCTGTGAAATGATGCCTCCTTAAAATATGGCTGGTTTGATTACTCCTTGAAGCAGCTATCATTAAAGATGCTTTTCCAGCCTCAAATGTTAGCTCATTCACCACGAAATCGTAAAACGTTTGACCGATCAGAATGCTAAGTGAATTTGTTGTGAAGTACTGCTAGTTGTATATCGACGTAGCGACAAAGGGGTGCTTAGTTGAAGATTCAAGATCTGTCCAATTACTTACGGTATAAACAGGGGAAACAAGCATGGTTGGTCATTCTGGTTCGCTATCGCCAACAACGCAAGAGCCGATAACAGAGCGTAGAAGTTAAATCTAGCGTTTCGGCGATGGTCGCTGTTGAAACGACCTAGAACGAAGGGCGCGGCAAAAATCACTGATAAAATTAAACAAGTAGTTCGGCCGCGGTGTTCTTATGGTACCATAGCTGATTTATGAGTAGGGCTTGAGCAATTCGATACAGCACCGCTGTAGACAAACTGAAATCGGATTCTCGAGTTTCAACCGAGGAAGAGCGAAGAGGAGCAGTCAGATAAAGTTCAACTAGTTTGCCCACAGTACTAAGCGACCGGACAAACCACACTGCACTCTGCAATAGGAGTGTAACGGCTGTGTTCCAATCATGCAACCAATGCGCTTGTATTGTGAAGGCAGCGGTACTGACTTTCCATCAGGAAAGACGAATCGGTACTAAAACTAGCACATTGCGGTTGTCCAACAGTTAACCGTGGCCATAACCTAATCCGTCCGACGAATAAATTAGAAGCAACGAGGGTCCGATGCAGTTCCAAGCGTATCTAAGCTTGGTATAATAAATGCGGCATTCTTGAACCGTCAAGACGGGCTAGTCTCCGCTTAACTGGCAAGAGACATTGGGACTGCATACGGTTTACCGAACGACCCAGTTATCTTGTGGACTCAACTGTTCAATAAAATGCTGCGGCTCCCTAAAAAAACATCCACGTTTTGGAGTGGATGCCGAAGTGGAGCAACCCAAACAAAACGCATTTTCGATCTGGGTAATCAAGAATTATCGTTCATTGTTACAACTCTTTGCCATACTGAATCAATGAAACTTATATTCTACTTGAACGGTCAGTTAAAAGTAACCGGCGACATATACTTGTTCGCAACTCAAGTGGCTGTTAACGGGAAACTCAGCTGAATCGTAGCTGAGTTTGAGACATTCTTCAAGTGAATGTCCAGCACAAAGGCCACTTTGTGTCTCAGTCGGCACGATATTCAAGGTATCACACAATGCTGTAAATGAGAGATCCAAATGAGAGTGAACTGAGTCTCGTGTTGACGCCAACTTAATTTGCAAGATGTGTATCCTGACGAGCAATCTGTCCCCGAAAAAGGCAGTAAGAACAAGAAATTTGCGACTTGAATCCCTTTCGAGCACCGTTGGATTGCACATGTAAAATGGTGAGACACAATACAATGCAGATTACATCACTATGTGAGTCCAAAATGTGGCCAACCAGTAAACCAAGGCAGTCTCACAGCGTGTCTTTCTGATCGGAAGGGATGAACCTGAAGTGAATAATTAATATGGCCATAAGAAATTTCAGTACTCGTGATCGTTTGAGCCATGCTAATACCCGGGAGGTGATTCGAGTTCAACACTGTATCCTACGTGGATTGGACGCCTGGCGACCGCTGATGTGACTCTGAGTTCGACCAAAGTCGATGGAACGAGTCCTTCTACTCCATCCTGAAACAGGGTGGGACACCGTTTAGAGGAACATTTTGTCCCTTTACAGAGGTATACTTTCGCTTTCGGCTATACCTCAGGTTAGAATCGACCAGTTTATGTGGTAGGTGGAATTTCGCACCAACGCTGTTTTACCGCTCGCAGTTAGGCAATGCTGAGGCCAAGAAGCCTACCACGCACAAAATTGGCCAACAGATTGGACCGCTTACCGGTCCAGCATCAAGGCGAGCTTTGACTGGCCAAAAATTCTGACCAAACAGCCAATGATGACTCAGTATCCGCCGAATGTCGCGTCCAGAGGGCGTCGAAATTGCCAACGAGGGGCTGTACATGTGCTTGGTTTCAGGCGTTAACATACGCTGTGCACCTTTGGTGGTTGTTTTGACGGGGAACGCTTGCTTGGAAGGTTCACAAGCACTAAGCTGGGGAAATACCGCTATTACATCACCTCCCGCTGTAGAGTTGGTGATGTACACTGTAGGTTATCCTGGGCATCTCGGGCAAACCAAATGGGTGTTCCACGTTTTTCGCCCACCAAATCCAACGATGAGGCTTTCGAGCCGTCCCTAACGGTAACGACTTCACTCACCGGTGGTTTTATCGGTCTGTTGTCATTGGTACATTGGAAGGGTTTAATGTATCAAAAACCCGTTGAGCCAAATTTTGGCACCGAACCTTCTAGCGCAGTGAAATTCCTCTAAGTATTGAGTATCTCACCACGTGGTCCCTTACATGAAACACTGATCGTGCTTTTTAATATTGTACATGCAATTGATGAAAACTAAGTGCCCATTGACTTTACTAATGAAAGGTAAGGAGCAAAATCGAACAAAATCAAACTTATTTCTGATTAGCATGCACTGATCATAATTGAGAATACAAGCCGTAATATGATGCGCTTTTGAATAAAAACGGTATTTAACCGCGGAGTGCAGTGGCAAATCACATAAAGCCCCCGAAGTGGGAACAGCTCATTACCTAAGGCGCAAACAGTACTTACTTAACAAACTCTCTAGTGAATGGTGTTGATCCAGCGTGGAAAGGTCTAAATTGGTTGGTAGGTTGACAAGCTGAATGTCTCGGAACAAATGCGGCTGGAGGGACCCAACAATGCGGCAGAACGCGGTGATAAATTCTCCCTTCGCCTCCAACTTGGTAGCCCGAAAGTTCCATGTCTAGACAGTAGTTAAGATGAGTGAGGAATGGAACCGAAATAGAGAATGTCACATGGAACGTTCAACAAGACTCAGAATAACGAAAAGTGAGAAGTATCATTTCTTTCTTCTCATCAATTGGTAGGAAAATGAGTAGGCTTTATCGGGAAAAAATATCGTTCCTCCGCAGTCTCGCTTGTTTTATAGTTTACGCAAACCTCCAAAGAAAAGGAACTGACCTGTTCTTCTCACTGTCCTCCGGAAATCTGCTTAAGGGAACCGTTACACATCGGGTCTTTTTAAGGCAGGCATAACTAATTTTCGGTGGGAAACTCTATTGCCATCAGTCTTCTTTGTCCTACTTCACAAACGCGTTCGTCTTGAATCAAATTTCCCTGAATATTGATTCTTAAACCTATGGATAGCACCAGTAAATACACACTAGATGCCAAATTCGAGAGGACCCATTTAATGGATTATACGTCGGTAGCTATCAAACGGTCACCAAGGTCTCCAGAAAGCAGTGTATCATCGAGGAAACGGGAAGTAGAACAGAATGGTTACCTATGGGATGTGGTATGTAATTTTTACATACAATTTTACATACAACACCACTGATAGATCATTAGTATCACTTCCATCGGCAGTTGCAGACGTTTGCCAAGGGTAAATAGTTGTGGAAAGGTCACGTACACACACATCGAAATAACAAACCCCGTTAAAGATGAAGAAGTGAGATTAAAAACTTAAAATTGGTACAAACCCTTAGGAAAACGGTCGAGACCAGAATGCACGAGCTCACTGAACGATGGTGCACTGTGCCTCGTGTTCGCGCGTTCCAGTCTATCACAAAGTTCCCAACCTCGAAGAACTAAACCACCGACTGGTATTACTTTTGAAATGAATGTACAGACTGTGATCAACAACTTGTCAAGTGTCACTTATCAGTGTCCCTTGGGGTCTACCTAGTGTCTTGCGAGTGGGAATTTTGAGTCAGGGGCTTGGAGTAACCCTTTTCTTCGGCCATGGTAACCAGGACGCTTTTTTGCCCCCACAGAACTTGCTAAAACAGACAGCCTCGTTCCTTAAACTCTCCTTTTATAGCCCTTCGTCTTCAAACCAAAGACGAAGAACTTACGATTAGAGTTCCGTAAACAAGCAATCATTTTTGTTTGTGCTAAACCACCCGTGCCACATAGCAGCATTCATTGTCAGCTATGTAGGATTAATCAACAGACCCCACTTGCCTATCCCCTGCCTTCGAAAACCGAAATTAGCTGTAAACCAAAAGCACACCTGAAAGACGCATTCTCAAAACACTCAGTATTCTCCGACTGCTCTGGATTTACTCCTTGAGTATCCGTTTTCTTGAGGTTGAGTGGTGTTCACAATGCAGGAATCTCCATGAACACGAAGGCCGAATGACGAGCGCACTCCAAGTCAAGCCGGATTCTTCCAAGTAGATCAACGTGTCTTCAGTTGCTAAAGGAGGCCATACCGTGGAGCAAAAACCGGCATTGGAAAGATTCAGAACGTGGCCTCATTCACAAACGCGTCTGGCCCGATGTAAAAATCAACCGCTAGGATTAAACAGCGCACTTTTTGAACACGAAGAGAGTGCACGAAAAATCCCAGCTCAATCGAGTAGCCTGTGGCATCCGCTGTTAATGACTGGTGGTTAAAGCTGAAGAGATTATCCATGAAGCAGTGGCCACGTTCCATGGTACACTGAAACGCAAATACGACTGGCCCGCGAAGCCCGCTTTAAAGAGACTAGTGCACTCTGAGGGGACAAAAAATTTGCTTTGCCAGCAACGATAGGGGCACATCTGGTCAGGTACGGCAACAAACGTGGAACTTGCCATACATGTCGCAGACTATAGTAAAATTCACCGACTAGTAAGCTCAGTTTTAGGGCCAACCACCCAGCACCAGTGCCCTCAAGAAACAGCGGAGACGAGCTTGTTTCGCATCGAGTCGCTGAGCTTCAATAAAAGAGAAACCACTCGATTCCACAAGCAACAAAACTTCAAACGGACTCATCAATACCATATGAAGTGACCTGTGAGGCGACAACCGAAAAACCGATCTCGGTCGATTTGAAGGAATAGTCCCACCAACAAGACATCACAAAAAGAATACAAATCCGTGCCAAAACATGCTGTGGACCACCTACATGGACTACTATGTGGGTATTGTAGAGTAAACGGTGTCGGGCGGACACAGTTACATTAGTCACTGTCTCTAGCGAAGAGGGGTGTTAAAACCAAGTGAGAAAGATACTACATAAGTTTTACTGAAGTTGATGTAAATTTATCCGCTTAGTCCTTCTGCCATAGATCCAAAAACCCGCTCGAATTAAGGGGGATCGCAGCAGGATTGAGGACTTGTGGGTAACTCTTCTCCGGGTTCTTTAGCATCTAAGCATATACTAACAGCTCAAAGTTGCCTAATCTGTTCATCTCCGTACCTCTTGAGTCACTAGATCGATAATAAGGACGGAAAACCACACTATCAAGTCTGCCACCTGCTCCATAGCTCCGTCTCGCGTCATCATCATCATCAACAGCAGCATTAACTACTAGAAACCGTGTATTAGTGGTACAACTTCCCTATTTCCAACGACTTTGCCGACCGATGAATACTGGATTGAGATGAAGAAAACAGAACAAGGGCAACCCAAAGCAGTGAGGTGTAGACCAAGCCATAAACACAGGTTGGAGTACGCACTGCTAGTGTGGGAGTCGATGAAAATGCTGAGCTACGCATTGAAGGTAGTAGCTTCACTGGATACTTGGTTATGTTCGTTTCGAGAAAGCTCAGTAGTTAGAGCGCAAACTTGTCGGAATTTCGGCATTTTGATTGCTCCTACCCATGCTTGGGCATCATGGCACTACATCAGCCCTCGTGTTTCCTTCGAGTGGCAAGGCAGTTAAACACCGAGAGGGTTTACATATTTGAACGACCTCAAGTCCATCAATTTGTCTAACAATTGACGGTCGGTCTCTGAATTCCAGACCAAATGGACAACAGCGCGACCCATACGGCAAAGACTCGATGACGACAAGCTATCTTCGGGTACAGGGGACAATCCGGAAATCGGTGGATGTCCAACCAAGCACAACCGTTCATACAATGAAAGTGGAATATGCCAATGGACCGTTGCACCAGCAACAGTCAACGACTACTAAAGTGGATTGTTAAATCATCATCATCATCATCACCATCATCATCATCATCATCACCATCATCATCATCATCATCATCATCATCATCATCATCATCATC